GTTGGTGGAACTCGTTGACCTTAAAATATTTACGACAACTGCGAAAATCGGTTACAATAGGATGGTTCAGCTTTACATTACTTTTACCACAGAGCAATGATTTCCCTTTCTAAACCCAATGAGATAAATCACTGCAACAAGGACACATTTAAAAAGAAACTGTGGGAACTCATTGCAATGATCTTTATCAATGGTTAATGGGATGCATAGATTCTTCACTCTCAAAATAATGATGTACAGTCTTGTACATTTACCTTTTTTCCGTTTTCCAATATTTTTTTGCCTCGTATCAAATGTTTTGTAGTCACGATTCGGATGAATGGAAAATTTACTTTCAGAACGAGAGCAAGTTCTAAATGTCAAAATCTTGTCCAGAGATGAAGAGAAACATTTGAAGTAGTGTGTTGGAGATATGAGGCAGGATGTTCATTTTTGACTGTGGTCAAAAACAGACTAAATTAAAAAAGTTAAGCTTACTTTGAATGGTCTAAACTCCGACCAGGTACAATGTCTTGCTCCTTACTGCTTTATCCTCACATCACATGGAGAGGATGACAATAGAAATTAAAGGACTGTGTGTCCGACCTCGCTTGACTTATTCAGCATCAGATAGACAGAAAGGAGAGTGGAAAATAACTGCGAGTCTCAGCGGCAGAGGATTTAGAGTTTGGATGGTCCTTTATGTCTTTGCAAAGACGGCACAATAATCCTCTGACATAACAGAAGCATCGGCGGAGACAAAACAGGGTCAATAGATCCCTGATGAGTTGCAGCATTAAACAAACTAATTAATCTGCTTTAAATCCTTTGCATCCTGACTCACAGCTGAGATTTGATAAGGTGCATGCAGATGAGATCTGAAATGTACAAGAACATGAAGAGCACCTTACAGGAAGAAGCAGAAGTTTGACATTTGACTCCTACATGTCTCTTTTTCATCCTGAGATATTTGTATTCATGGGGGGGGCTAGTTTTGCAACCCCTTACCTGTTAAAAATGACAAAAATTATGCAAATGCATTATGCAGATATGCATTTACGTTCTCACATACAAGTTCAGTGTCTGAAAGCAGCTTAGGTGAACTTGACAAGTGCTGGTGGGTTGATTGTTTTAGCTGTTCACCCATGTTTCCAATTTTTATGCAAAGCTGGGTTAAGCTAACCTTCTGTTGGCTCCAGCTACATATTTCATTTGGCCAAGTAACCTTCTGTATTCCAATAAATGTTGAACTATTCCCGTTCAGTCCACCATGGACCCAGACATTCCTGTCTATTTTGCTCGGCTTAATGAGCATTAGCTGGAATGTTTAATACCAAGTCTAGTGCCTCGGGCCGTCCTTGTCTACCTCCGACTGAAGCTGAGCACGACTGCAAACATATTAGAGGAATCAAACTTTGTGGACTTCCACTGGTGAATGTGTGTCTGTATATATGGGAGGTCAGTTGTTCTCCCAGCAAGCCTACGCATGAGCCTCCATATCAAAAAGGTCGAGCAGAGATGTTCGGACCCCAAGCTGAGCAGAAGCGAGCGCAATAAAAAGGAGGGGGAAAAAGATGAAACAACCAAGAGACAATGAGAGAAACTGAAGACACAGGAGAAAAAGAGATACAGAAGATATGGTAAAGAGCATGGGCGGCTTTAAAATATGTATGTGTCTCCATTTGGCAGAGGGAAAAATATTTCCTAGAAGAGAAACGACGTTAGGTGAGAACATAGCTGGAGCATTAACACCCATAGAGCATGAAAAGAAAACACTTCCTTGTCCATGGAAGACGGATGTAAAGAAGGAGACAGTGGGGGAAAAGGAAGCTGTGGAGATGCCCCGAGGCTGAGCTCTTTTTACCCCATGATGCCATTTAGCTGCTGCTACTCACTGTGCAGCCGCACACACAAACACACACACATGCACAGCGCAGACGTGTTTACATGTGATCCATTTTACAGTCGAGCGTTGAGCTGAAGGCCATTAGGTTAAGTGCTCTCCGGTGCAGACCTGACTGTCTGCAGAGAACACACACACTCGCACGCATCTGTAATTGGCAGACTCGTTCTTCTTTAAAAACATACACAGTGCTGCAGTGCACATGTGCTGGTGTACTGTTCCTATTTGTGCCACAAATCATCAGTCAGTGGATTCAATGACCCAGAATATTTCACAAATTTCCAGCAGTGCTTTTCTCATATTTGACATGCGTGCACGGTGGCCACCGTCTTTAATCTGTCAGACCAAGCTCGGCTCAGGGAATAAGGCAGACGTTTGGTCTCCTCTGTGAATCCTGAAAAACACAGAGCCCTTTCCATCAACTCAAGGCATAATCCACAAGCAATAACTTGCATTACAGCAGCTCTTGGATTTAAGTCAAAGGCTTTCAAGGTGAACGAAGGGAGTGAAATCCTGTTTTATTTCAGATGGAATGAGGGGGTCAAAAAATTCATATATCTTGATTTAATCAGACACGGTTTATCTTATCTCTGTTTTGGGTTTGGTTCGGTTTGTTTCTCCCAGGGTCTTCCTGTGAGCAGTTTGTATTTTCTCTCCATGTCTATGTAGGTTTTCTCCAGAGACATGCAGATTGAGGTTACGTTAACAGGAAATTGATCATAGGTGTGAATGTGTGTGTTAATGGTTGTTTTTGTCTATATGTTGACCCTGTTGACCGTTAAAAAATTTAATTATGACCCGATATAGAAACTTTTCTTATTTACAACATTACACATATTGCAAAGCAGGTCGTGTTTGCAGCTTTAGAGGTCACTAAAGCGGAGGGTCCCCCCCCCCACCACCTCTCTGTATGTATGCATTACTGTATGTGTGCTCTCATAGATTGGCTGCTGCTGGTTGTCATGGTTATCTGGCTATACTGTGGCTACATCTACCCCGGTCACCATGGAGCCCAGCCTCTCTCTAATACCCCAGCATCCTGTGTAAAGGTTTTTCCATGCAGCGAGCCACGCCAAAACCATGTTCAATCAAATCTTCAGATTTTGTTTTTTCCACAAATCAAAACAGCTCTTCTTTTCTCCTCTAATTCCACATCCATCCATCTGACTGTTTCCCTCTCACATTTACAATGCACTCACTCTTCCTTTTGCTTAGCTTTGCTTTTCTCACCATCCCCCCTCTTTTCCCTGGTCTCTTATTCTCTCTCCTTCTTCGATTCATTTCTCCCTCTCTCGCCCTCTGTTTCTCCATTTTTATACCTCCCATCTTTTTTCTTCCCTCTCACTCCAGCTCTAATAAGCCTGCCTTCTTAATAATAGGCCTATGGATATGCTGCCATGGAGCTGTATTCATTTCCTGTTCACATTGTGCTGAATTAACTTTAACAAAAATCTGTACATAAATAGACACAGCAGCCTGTTTGTGTGTGTGTGTGTGTGTGTGTGTGTG